CCGTTAGATTAATTATTCCCGACAGTTACATGATGATCCAACGGTTACAAACACCGACAGAATGATTCCGTAATGAGACTGTAGCATTTTCTTTTTTATAAGTGGAATTGGGAAATTATGAGATTTGGACTAACAAAATTAAAAAAAATAAAAAAAAATAAAAAAAAATCCACTATCTTCTAGGGCTGGCCCCTGCCTTTTATTTCCACTTGTCAAACTCACTGCTTTTTTGTTTCACCTTATTGATTTACACTGTTATTTTACTGTTCACATATTCTGTTAAATCCATTCTATTTCAGGTGGGTTTCAACATTGCATGTGAAATTTTAAAGTTTTTGGTGATTGATTGATTGTTTTATTTTTTTATTTTTTTTTCCTACTATATTTAGTGTATTTTATTATATATTTTCTTCTCTTTTAGGTGGGAAAATATAGGACTTGATTTATTGAATTTCAATAATTAAGATTCTATTTTAGGAAAACAAATTAAAAATGAAATGAGCAATTGGATGAGGCTTAATAATTAGACTAAGACAGGCATAAAAAATAGCAATTGGGTATTTATCATGTCCTGAACAAACTTGACAAACTATCTCTATTTCTAAACATCCTTCAATTGATATAAAATATAATTTGTGAGTTGTTACACATCGTTTATACAGGAAAAATATGTCTAATTGGTCTTAGATTGGAACATCACTTAAGTTTTATCTGGGTTTTTTATGTTTTGGTGCGTAAGACCGAACTCGTTTTCCCCCCGTTTCTTACAATAATGATAATTCGTTATCAATTACAATTCTTTTGTTAGTACGTTGTTTTGCCTTTTCCTATTTTTTTAAGGTTTTAATTCAACTCTTGATTTTTATTTCTAATAAAGTTTTGTAAGTTACTTAACTAAACTTACGCAAGTCCGATTAATGGTGCGTTCGAATTTGGGGAGAACATAATCCTTGTAATCATACCAAAAAAAAAAAAAGAAAATCATGATCGAGTAGTAATTTTTCGGCTAATATATAAAATTTAAGAATCAAATTTTTAATATAAAAATTAAAGTTGATTTGAAATAAAAGTTAAAATAGAACTCAATTACTATAAGGTTATTGTTCATTTTTTATTTTTTTAATTGGTTATTCTTGGTGGTTATCTTGATTTGAAAGTGCATGAGACATTCAAGTTGAAATAAAAAAAATGAACAATCTAGTGAAAAAGTCCAATTTGTTTGTGAGGCTACAAAAAGGCCACATGAGATTGGTGGGTTTTTAGGTATTCCTTTCTCTTCTCATGTCATGTCAGCCCCTAAATAAGATGATATGTTATTTTCTTACCAAGCTCGTTTGGCCTTTGTTCGCCTGAGTGTGAATTTACTATCATTTTGAGATTGTACATCAGCACATTATACTGTTGGGATTGTTTTCGTAGTTTTTTCGTTGTGTTTGTATAGTTGCGAGTTTGTTATTCTAGTGTTGCTAGTTTAGGCTCTAGGCAATATTCGGATCAGTCCTCTCAGTCTTTTCAGCCGTACTTTTTATTTTTGGCTGATTTCTCTTTGCACTTTGTGCGTTTTTTTGTTACATAATATCTCTATCGTTCCAAAATTTTTAAAAAAAAAATAAAATCCAAAACCAATATTATATACCACTTGTGCAAGTTACTTGTCCAATTTAGACATGATCTTGGAATTTAAACGTCAACTAAATTGGTCATATGGTGAATATTTTGTGGTGACAAGATAATAAGTTTCGTGTGAAAATTGTGAGTTAAAGATGTGAAGATTTTATTATGCTTTCACTAAAAAACAACAGATTGTGTTAAAACGGTGGGTTTATTTCCAATCCACCTTACACACACACACACATATTTCAAGAAAATCATTTTTCACCAATATTATTAATCTGTCGAAAAAAATAAAGGTGGTTAAAATGTACATACAAAATAAAATAAAATTAAATTAAAAAAAAAACAATGAAAAACAGTATTCCGCATTCCCGCTTAAAAAATAAATAATAAATAATCATTTCAGTTTATCTCAATAAAATGAAAATGACTCAACAAATGTAAATTAAACAAAAAAAATAAAAAAAATTAAAGTCTCAATAATAATCATGTTTTTCTTAAGATAAAGTTGTCTTGCAAACGCCTTCCAAAATAATATTTTTATTTAATACTCGTTTAGCATTTCGAGTGATATTTTTTAAAAAAAAATAAAAATTTGGAACTTTGTAAAATTTTCAGATTTTGGTAGAATCTTTCCAAATCTTAGTGTGTGTTTGAAAATAAATATACTCAATTCATACTCAACATTTAACTCAACTTTAATTTAACTCTACTATTCTCAATATTATTAAATAATATCAATCAATCATTCTACACATCACATCAACTTTAATTTACTGTTCATCCTTTCACATAATTTGACTAACCGTTACTTCAAATCACATATCTCTTATTTGATAACTTCAAATCACCATTCTCTTACTTTATATCAAACAATTTTAATTATTTTCTTTTTAAATATTATTTTAATATAATATTAAAACCCCTCTAACAACTAACCATACATTTTTTTTTTTTTAAATTAACTCTAGTTAACAAATAACTTTATTTTAAGTTGAGTTGATATATTTGTATACAAACATAACCTTAAGTTTGAATGTGATATTTGAAGTGAAATTGTTTTTTCTTTTGAATTTCCAGCAGATTTTAAAAAGTCGTAACAAATCATAATTTCAAATAAGCTAAATATATCCAGATTTTGTAAAACTTTTTAAAATCTCAACTGAATACCCAAGACTTTTAAAGGATGTGAATCTCCATTAAAAAGAGATTACTATACCCGAAAAGAGCTCTGAAAATAGGTCCAAAAAACACAAAAAAATTAGCAGCAAAAATCTTTCATCCCCAACCTCTTTAGGGAACAACAACATCCCAAAACCACAACTTAAAAACCAGTTCAAGTTAGCTATACTACACTAGCAACATTTTCCATTCTAAGTTCAAACATTTGCCTAACTTGTCCCCCGATCGAGCTGCCGAATATTTAATAGCTATATTCCGACTCAGACGATGGTTCATCCGAACTTGTATCAAATTCCCAATTTTTCACTCCACCGTTTGCCCGGTTTTGCTCCTCATTACATTCATCGTAATAATCATCGACAACACTGTCATAATTATCGAGCCTGACACTGCTCGATAAACCGGCAGCTGAGACTTCGTCATCGCCCTCATCGAATTTCAATCTTCCGGAACTACTGGTGGCATTTTCACCGGCCTCGCCCATATTCCCATCTTGCCGTAAAACGGCAGCGTCGCAAAAGACGATTTTACCCCTGCCACTGCCCCTTCTTTCTCGCTGGCCTGCGGTCGAGTGGCGACCTTTCTTCCGGCCTTTCCAGGTGGGGAGTGATGGGAAATTATCATAATCTTTATCTTTTGTTCGGCCCGCGTTTGATTGGTTGACACGAGGATTTAAAATGGGATTTTTCTTGGGCTTTGAGGCTAAACGGGCCGCCCGGCTGGATCCTCTCGGGCGCCCACGACCACGTTTCAAGATTGGGAGCCCATTTACAGGTTCGGCCCAACTGTTATCTTGTTGTGGAATTCTGGATTGAGACGAGTAGTTCATTGGAAATTTCTGCAGATATGCAAATTAATTACTGAGGTGAAATTTTACGGGCAACAGAATAAACCGAAAAAAAAAAATGATAAAACTTACAGAGAAATGTCCAGCTTCATGATGTTCATTTTGACGAGTCGCTTTCTGGTTGGGGCTGTAATAAATAGATACGTCAAGTTCCATAAGCCTTAAAGCGACAGCTGGCAATGTACAAGGTATCCAAGGAAGTACTGAAACCTCTCGAGGCGTACACAAAGTTCCGACACAACCGCCAAAAGCTTCAGACGAGTTCAACAGCTCAGATGTGGTTTCGTAATTTGATGACAAGAACTCTCTTTTGATGCTATCTTCAAGCAATGTCAGAGTCTGAATAGCAGCCAATCGAAGTCCACATAAAACGTGAAAAATGTTAAATTTGAGTGAATAAAGACAATTGAGATACATTTCATATGAGGAAATGTGAGAAAACCTGAAGAAGGTCTTCGGCTGTTGATGCCACATACAGCTTTCTACCCCAAGATTTTCTATACTCATCTGACCAAACAGTATTAAAAGCATCGGAAGGAATCGAGGCCTAAAAAAAAACAAGTTAAAAACTGAAATTACTTGAGCATACGGACAACTTAATAGAAATGAGCTTACAGACATTGAATTTAAACCTAACCTCAATGAAAGCCAACTGAGCTTTCAGCAATTTAACCCTCGGGGGCAGCGAAAGATCGAGCGAGACCCCTTTAATAATCCCTTCACTCATTTTCCTTTCACATCGGCAAACATGTTCTGCAAAACTGAAATGCATATCTGAAGTTTTGTAAGTCCTATGACAGGAAGGACAGTGAATATCCTCCCAAGAAAACAAGCTATGACATGACGTGCAAATATCCAGCAGCCTTTCACGCCTAACTGTCCCAAACTTCAAAGCACCCGATACGTTAGAATCGAAGCATTCTTCCCAAAGCCAATTAAAATCCTTATGTCTAGCCACGACCCAGTTTTCCTCGTTTCCATTGTTTTCAAGCTCAAAATACGAGTCCATCTTGTGTTTGACTTCTTTCGTGAAATCTTCACCAGAATGGAGAATGGATTTCGACCGTAACAAGTTAATTCTTGCTGATGCTTTGAATGATCCTTCTATATTTTGCAACATGGAACGCAAATGATATTCTCTAATCCCACAAACGTCCAAAGATGACAACAGAGCATCAAAACCCTACATGCAGTAAAAAGTAAAGCTTCTCAGAAATTTAAGTATAATGACAGTAGTAACTTCTGATTTTGGTCTTCCAATGCAGGATCCATTGAATGTATACAAAAATCAAAAGATGATAAAAGAGTTGTGGCCTAACAACAGGATTTATAAGTTTCACTTCGAGCGAATAAGGAATATAATTAGCAGACAACTAACATAAAGTTTATATTGGCTATCTGTATAAGTAAATGAATTAAGAGTGTTACCATTAAAATAAAGTGTGGCTCGGATGAGCATTTGGGGCAGGCATAAAATGTCTGACGAGCATACCAGAGTATTATGTCAGACTGTTCATAATTATTCATCATAATTCAGTTTTATTTCTCATTTTTTTACGATTTTATGATCTCTACACTATCATAATCAGAACAATCATCATATATAAAAAATGCATAACACTCACTATAGGCTATAGCTGAACCTAAAAAAAAAACACGTAAAAGAAGTGTACCTCAGCTGAATCAATAACTCTCCAAGTGCCATTGCATAACTCAATATATATTTTTCCGGATCCTGGATCATTTCGAGATGGAGATGTCATGAACTGCCAGTACCGATTTCTTCTCCGGTCCTCTCCCAGAGGCAATGATCTGTACACATAAATCTCCTCAACCCGGTGACCAATTAAAGCTTTTAGCTGTGATCGTGGCTTCTCACTAGTTTGCTGAAAGGAATCATGCATTAAGGGACTCTTTTCATTAATAATACTGCTATAACAATAATTTTCTTCATTCTGCTGATTGTTCAAGTCGACCAGTCGGAACACAGAGTTCGTTAACGATGACTCGTTTTCCACATACACGCTCACCATTGGGCTTCTCCTGTTGTGCTCGATCGATGATTGATGTTGGAACTTCAAAATGTGCTCGTCTTTCATGCGACGCTTATCAAGCTGGGCTTCAGTCCACATTTGCTTCTTTAGCGCATTTGCCGCCTCCAGCCGTTCCTGAAAAAGATTCTCGAACAAATTAGCAATGAGTTGGTACAAAAGCCGAAAGGGTCATCTTTAGTGTGATGAGTTTGGACTCAAAATCTTAGTTTGCTGTAGTATCAAGAATTCTCTCTACTTATTACTTCGATGCCAAATCATGACTCAAAAAAGGACTCATGTTTTATTATTATATTGTATCTAGTTGTATGTATACAAATTAATGTGAGTGAAAAAGATGGAACACTGTAATCTCCACTTAAGGTGTGTTTGTATACAAATAATCTCAATTCATACTCAAAATCTAACTCAACCCCATCAATATTATCAATATAATAAAATAATATCAACCAATCATTCTTAGTCATCACATCAACTTAATTCACTATATCCACTCACATAATTTTAACTAATCATCAGTTCAAATCATCTTTCTCCTACTTTTACTGTTTTACATCAAATCAACTTTAATTATTTTATTTAAATATTATTTTAATATGAACATAAAATCCCCCTAACAACTAACCATACATCTTTTTTAAAATTAACCACGGTTAATAAAAAAACTCGTTTTGAGCGGATATATTTGTATCCAAGCACGCCCTAAACTTTTAAACCAAAAATCTAGGACCACAAAATTACCTCCAATGCAATACGGATAGTATTCCCTTCATTCGCTATGCTGACCAAGGCAACAAGCGCACTCAGACGCTCTTCAGTGCTTAAATCCGCATACTCCATTTCAGTAAGCCCTTGAACCCATTGTTCCCCTAGGCCGCATTCATCATTTACAATATTCTCAAGATCCCGACCAGCAATCTCAGGCTCAACTCCAATACTTTCCACGCATGGAGCGCTAGTTTCTCCTTTGGTCTTTATCTCATTAACCGACCGATTTAAGGTCACGCCACCTTCCGAATTTCCAAGGGCATTTGTAGAATTTTCGCCAGGATGAGAAGCTTCATTCGGTTTTGGGTTTGGCACAACATTCAAGTCAACATCGGGATCATCCACGCCATCACTTTCGGATTCTTGATCCCTTGCGAAGTCTTCCTTCTCAGCTTCTTCTTCTTCTCCTCCTCCTCCTTCTTCTTCTTCTTCTTCTTCTTCTTCTTCTTCTTCTTCTTCTTCTTCTTCTTCTTCTTCTTCTTCTTCTTCTACAACTCCGTTTTGGCAAGCGACGACTTTGTCCCTGGCGGCCGAGAGAATGTCTTCAGCTTTAGAAGGGTCCTTTCTGTAGGGGGAGCGTACACAGTAAGTCGAAGGGGCAGTTTTCTCAAACAGCTTTGTGTCTCTTGACAAAGCAGCCGAAATGGATGCTTCCGGTGTTTTGCTCGTCGTTATATCCCTGAGTCCGGATCTCTTCATATAAAAACAATAAACTCAAGTCAGCAATATAATAAGATATACTGATACATCATACATATCAGTAAACTATGAAGATAATTACATTATCTATATTTGAGCTCTGAAAAAGAAAAAATTAAAACACAAAAAAATTGAAGTTGAAATTTACATATTTATCATGAGGTTTGGTTTAGCTTTATAATTTGAGGGGCTATATGTTTTAACTTCATATCCCGGGGGTGCTTCGTTAATTTGAAACTTGGCAGGGTAACTTTAGCAATTTGGCCAAAACTCAAAGGATACCTTTTGTCATCAACACTAAAACCATTATAGTTACCTGGATTTTGTCAGCAACTTCCAGTACTGAAAGTCCCTTGCTGCCCTCCAGCGATAGAATAGGAAATGCTGCATATTTGACTGTTCCAGGAGTCAACCGATGCTTGGATCTTCTTCGAGAATTTGGAAAACCCTTTTCTTGCATAATAGTCACAGCATTCTCAGCAGCCAATCCACTTCGCAGATCGGATATTGCAGCTGCACCATCATCACACTGCAGTTGCATACAGATCAGATTTATTATAAATGGGGACATGTAGATACAGTTAAGATATAATCAACGTGCATGAAGCACTAGTAAATTGAAAAAAAAAAAAAAAAAAAAAAGTCAGTGCCTCATTATCATCGTGTGCAAGAGCTGGCTTTGTATTCCGCTTCTTCAATTTTGGCCCAAAACCAGCTGACAGAGCAAATTGCCGTAAGACTTCAGGCCAAGTTAATGGGGTCAAGAGATGCTTCCAGCTAAGCAAGTCAAAGCCCCAAGCATATGCCTGTCACAAACTATGTGAACTGAATAACTAACAGAAAATGGATAGCAACCAAAAATCAATGCAAAGACGACAGAAAAATAAAAACACACCCCTCGAACAATGTGTGGATGCCCTCCGAGAGGGTTAAATGCGGACCATTGATTTGCTGCCATTGCATTGGCAGGTGTCCTTGCGACATCTTCAATGTCTTTTATGATGCATCTCAAAAGAGCTAAGTGGATCTCTCCGAGCAACCTTGGATCCTGCAAGCACGTTTTTCCAATCGGGGTTTAGAATAATAATTTAATCCCTGCACAAATATAGTGTAACTTTGTAACAAAAATTTTGAAGAAAGGAATCTTAAGAACTTACACTATCATGCAAAGCTTGAGTGAACTCATCCAACGTGAATGGCCAGAGCCCAAGAACATCAGCAAAAGCAATTAAGAATCTCCAAACCTACATAATTTCACACAACACATGAGGTCTCCAAATGAGAATAACCCGTGAAGTCATACAAGAAAGTCGATGATTTGTGTATGCTCCACGGATGTGCGTGGAAACAAAGATTATTTCTAAGCGAAATCTAGAAGCTGTCAAATAATGCTTAGTATACAAGAAAATTATTTTTTATACAGGAGAATGACAACATACAATTTGGAAGTTTCTAAATCTTGTCCAACTAACATAAAGTTATGCCTAAAAACCAAAACTAAGTTTGCCGTAGTCTGGAAGTGTGTTAAACAATTAACCCTGAAATAAACACAAATGATGTATATCAACTGAAAAAATGAATGATAAGTATAAGATACTCTCTGATACATCTCGTCCAATTATTATATGACTAATATAGATAATGAGCTGGTATTGCTGACTATAAACAATCAATTAACATATCTTGACAAATACAGCGGGATAAGTAAAGAAAGAAAATATTATACAAGTGCGCAACAACACACTAGCAGTAATGATCATTACAATGGATTAAAACTCAATTGGGAGATGGAAAAGTCATCTCACCATTAAAACATTGCTGATATTCTCCTCCGAATCAGTCCAAGGCTGGACTTTGAAAGGCCTTTTCAAGGGCACCGACTCAGGCGGGAACTCTGGGAGCTTTTCTAAAGAAATAACACCAGGAACTTAATTGCCAGAAAAACATAATCCACCCAAACTTAAACATATAAAATTTTAACATTTCATATGAATATACAAAACTGCATTGACTGAGTAAGAAAAAGAGAGCAGAAGAGTATTATTGTGGAGAAAACCAGTAAATACCTTTAATCAAGTCGAGGTTCTCACTGTCTAGAGCCAAAATCGACGGTAATGCTTTACTTAAGGCGGCAAGCTCCATGAGTTCCAACCTTTCATCCTCAACCAGTTCTGTTGGTTCCTTTGCAATTTTGCGAGCAGACGCCCTATTGTTTGCAGCTTTCAATCTTGCAGCTTCCTTCTCCCGGTGCATTTCTTCTTTCAACCTCATTTTCTCTGCCTGAGATAGAAGAGATCATTAAATGACCAGGTTTAACGTTGCAACATACCAGATAAAAAGGAAAGTTCTCTCCCTCAGGCAAGCTGAGATACCTTTATAGAATATTTCCCACATATTCAGAAAACATATTATTTCTTGAGTTTTGATGTTCCAAATCATTCTCCCAGTAGAACAGAACTCTTTTCATATTCTGATCATTCAAGAAAAAAAATCTCGCCCTCAAGTGAAAACAGTTTTTTTCCGTCCTTTTGTTCTTCTTCCTATGCTACCTTTGATGTAAATGCTACAATATTAAATTACAACTGAAATTAAGTGTATTAAAGAGAAGTATTTCGGACAAATTGCTAACTAACTAATGTTCCATTGGGAGATACAAGCCTATAATATGAGATGGACAAAATTGAAACACGCCCATCTTAGTGGGACGAAAAAAGTACATGAACAACTCAACCAAGAAAGAACTGGGATTAACTCTTATGTATTCTTTTTGTAGGAATTTCTCCCTTCTTTCCATCTCACGTCTTTGCTCCTTGAGGAACCTCTCCTCTTCACGCTGCTTTTCACGCAACAGCCTCTCCTCCTCCTTCCGCCATTCACGGTCCTGCCTTTCAATCTCTTTCCTCATCTGCTCTTCTCTCTACAGAATAATCAATAAAGTTGTCAGCAAAAGATCATTGCACAGACAAACAGAAATTAATCAACTTAGTAGCCGTGAAAATTGAAGGAAACGTAAACCATAGTAAAAGAAGAGGGAAGGAGCTGAATAATTTAATTTACCTTCCTCCTCAAAATATCTCGTCTCTCTAGCTCTTTTCTTATCCTTTTCTCATGAACTTCGACTTCCTTGGTTATTCTAGCCTCTTCAGCCTGCGATTCATAATGCAAGAAAGCATTGAGGAACAATCAACCTATCCTGAAGCAGAATCTAATGAACTATCCTCAACTGAGCTGATACACAACAAAGGCTAAGTAAAACAATTGTTTGACAGTCTGCATGGCAATAGATAGCTATGGAGTGTCCATTTATTGCTGCACATCTATCACAAGAGAATTTGCTCGTGTTGGACTAAAAAGAATCGAATTTAGAGAGAGAGAGGAGAAAATCACCTTCCGCTTCCTCTCCAACCTTTCATGGTCAAGAATGATGCGCTTATCTGGTGTAATACTTTTACCGGCCAACTCAGTGACTGGACGAACAAAAAGATGAGCATCAATGCTGGCATTCGCCATGGAGCCCATTGAAGGAGGAATATCAACTTCCCTGGGCCCTGGAGACAAGCAAACCTCCCGCATGCTTTGCTGAGGAAAAATATGTAAGCCAGGAGTTTGATTTTGGAGATATTCAGATGATACTTTCTCATTGCAGTGCATCACAGATCTTGTGTTGGATATTGGATTAGGCAAACCATAAAAATGTTGCAGAGTAGCTCGGTCATAGGTGTCATCATGCCTAGCAGATGGCTTCTCTGGGAGAAATTGGTATTCATGGAGAGCCCCTGAAGTACCCTGATAAAAATGGATTTTAGTGTCCCAACAATATTTTAGACGAACGGAAAAATAAATATCCACAATATATGGAGACAATCTTGTTCATACAAAAGAAATGTAGATGCAGGTTCCGGGCTAGTTGGTTCATCTTCGCAAGAAAACAACTACCTTTTTTCCGGAACCACAAAGATAAGTTTATATTGATTTTCACATAGTATAAGAAAACACAATCATTGGTTTATAAGAAAACACAATCAGTGTGCCAAACCAAAAGGGCCAGGTCCAAACCGAAGATTGCCTCAAACAAACAAAACCAACTGGGTGCTCGGATACCATGATAAATGGGTCTGGGCAGAACTAATTCGGAAAAACTTGCTCAAATGGAGAGGGCGCCCAACCCACACTTGTGCAAAACAACAACGCATGAACTAATCAATGTGGGATAAACATAACTTCTAAAACAAAATATACCCCTCTAAAATAGTTATTATTATACTTTTTTTTAACTCTATTTTGTATTAAATAAGCGGAAAAAATGATACTTAACATTATAAATACTCTATTTGAAGTAACCTTAGTGGGACACCCAAAATAGTAATGTGGCCAGTCTTTATGAGACAAAGGGAGTAGTATACAGTCAATTTGAAATTATTATTATTATTATTATTATTATTATTATTATTATTATTATTATTATTATTATTATTATTATTATTATTGTTATTATTATTATTATTATTATTATTATTATTATTATTATTATTATTATTATTACTACTATTATGGTTCAATATGCACTTTCAAATTTCATTATTGCAGACGTACACATCAAATGAAAGAATAAGAAGTCACACATAGCAGAAGATGCAGGCACAAAGAGCTATGGCTAAAACCATCATATTTAAGAAAAAACAATATACGATTACTGTACTACAGACTAAAGAAAAGGAACTACTCGGAATACCATGAAGAATCTTGATTCATCTAGCAAATTAGTACTAAATAGGCTTCCAAAGAAGGTTCCTAACCTTGACTGGTTTAGCTTCAACCCTCTCGTATAATTGCTGATCATAAGACCGCCGAGCTACTTTCTGTTGTTCTAATGAAACTGTTTCCATGAGAAATTGTCAGGCTAGTAACATACTAACACAGAATGTTATATGCTTACATAAACAAAAGTTTAAAAATTTAACAAATGGAAATTACAATAACCATACAACTAAGAAGGTGAGAGAAAAAAATAATTGCATGGCTACAGGTATTTAATTGAGTGGATCACCTCATGTATGTCTACACATTCAAAGTCCCAAAGACGGGCACATTTTTAGCAATTTAACCATATACAAGTGCCTGTGAAAAGTTAAGACATTTGAGACCTACGTTTCACTAAAAATAATAAAATTCGAGCAAAACTGTCATTGAACCTCTCATTATTATTTTACTGATTCTGTGTGGTTCCGGAAGGAACTTCTTCGCAATTGAGCCACATTCCTTTGCACAAATTTGCACGGTATTGATGAGCTGCTTATCTCACTTGCAAACCAGCATTAATGTTCTCTTCAATTATTAATAGGTGTTTATCCAAGAATCACTTCCCAACTTCTTGCATAAATCCAAAAAACTTCCTCAAAAGCCTGATTTATCTATTCTACTGGTTCAAAAATAATTGGGAAACCTACACATATGACCAAGGCAATAGAAACTCCCATCAGTGAGACAGCTCAATCTGGTGGTTTCATTCACTTGAAGTCTTAAACAAACGGAAAGCGACAACTATTTACCCCACAAAATGTTGGCAAATAACTATCTCTACTAAGGAGATGCATCTATTACTCTGAAATCAAAGTTAAGTGCCACCAAAATCGACACCAGTCTAGGGAGTGGCCAACACAGGATTGAGATTCGTGAAACTAGACAAGCATATATTTCCAATAAAAAAACTTGTATGAGCATAAAAGTATGAAACTAACTAAATCACAAACCTAAGAGCATATCAAAAATTAAAACCCAAATGTTATGGAAAACAGATATTACCAATTGGTGCACCAAATGCGCCAGGTGGCAATGGGTCAAACTCCATCCCCAGAATGGGCCCATCTTCCCTTAATGGCTCCCCCAACTGTGCCTCCACAAATATAATCGCTCTCTGTTCTGATACGGCTAATGGCGGCTCATAGAGCCTCCTCATGGGCGGCGACTCCATTGATATTCTAGGCACAGCTGTCCCACCTTTATGAGCTACTCTCATTTGCTGCTTGTGTTGCACATTCGTGTTCCCATAGACATGTAAGCCCGGGCAGCCACCTTTCGCCACGTCAACAATTTTTACCACCATTTCATGAGCAATCCCGACGGGGGACTCTGACATGGCACTCCTTTTTAGCTTCTTCTCGGTGGGGGCCTTTCGGTCTTTTAACCTCCGATGGCAGAACCACATTTGGAGCTGCCGGTCAGTAAGGCCTAATTTGACCGAAAGCTCGGCTCTCAGGACCTCTGAAGGGTGTGAATCCACTGCACATGAAAATACATCAGGCAATCAATGAATTAAGTAGTCAAAATATGTAAAATTAAATCCAGTTGTAGAAAAATGCTTGAAATCAACAGATTCTAGGCCGTCTATATTACAGTTTGCACGAAAATGCTGGGGCCTTCCAACCAAATTCAAACGAAACCGAAAAATAAAAAATAAAATAGAGAAAACTAACAGTGACAATAATAATGACAGTAATAACAGTATAATGCTTAAACAGGAAATTATAAATGAAACTCACTGGAATAAGTTCTCTCTAAAACTTCCAGCTGAGAAGGAGTCTTCATTTTCCGCTGCACCTTCCGTTCAACCTCCGGCGAGTTCTTCTCCGCCTTCACACCTACGCCACCATCTCCTTCGCCGCCACTCTCTCCTCTGCCGCCTTCTTCATCAATATCCATCCTACTCCAAAATCCCATACGCCCAAAACCCACTAACTTCGAAAGCAGAATAAATTAACCAGCTCAGCAAAAAATCAGAACTCAAGCAGATCAGCACCTCACAACAAATCGTCCACCATTGAACACCAACAGAAGCAAGAATTTCAGAACCCATATAAACCTAGGGCTTCTGAATTATCTTCAAAATCGGGAAATCCCTTCTACCCATTTCCTCGTAACTCGAAACAAAAACAATAAAGTGTAAAAAAAAAAGGAAGAAGAAGAGTAAAGTTTGAGCAATCCTCACCCTTTCTCTCTCTCTCTCTCTCTCTGTGTAGCTCAAGATAATCTTTTGGTCACAGTAACATACCCACAGAAGCTCGAGTATGACAAAGATGTGCGGTGAAGATTTGTGTCAATACCACAATAAAATACCATTAAAAACTTCAGCTACTGATTACTGACACAACACTCGCGAACCAAATAATAAAAAAAAATAAATAAATAAATAAAAAAGCCAACAGTTTTTCTGTTCTGCTGCCACTACGAGTAACTGTACGAAAAAAAATATTAATTACTCAGTATAAAAGTTCTGAACTTTTTTTGTTTTCTTCGGTGCTGTGAGTTGGGATAAAGGCAAGGAAAGGACAACAGTGAGTACAGAATTCAAAGAGCTGAAATAATATAAACCCACAAACCCAAAAACAAAAACAATAATTCCCGTCTCTCTGTCTAATCCCACCCATCAATTTCTGTGTGTATATATATAATAAAGAATGTGGAATAAAAATAGTGGGGTTTGAAAAATCGGGGCGATTTGATTCACAAATGAATTTTTCGATTTGTGGTTTTCGGGGTTTTTTTTCTTCAACTCTCTCTCTCTCTCTCTCTCTCTCTCTCTCTCTCTCTCTCTGTCTCTCTGTAGCTTCTCCGATCTTTTTCGTCGTGACTGTATCTGTGTGTATGTATCATCTTCTCTGTTTTTTTACAGTTCGTTAGTAAAAGGTACTGTGATTCGGGTCGGGTTGTGATTTGGGTGTGTTTGGTTGGGCAACGCGATTGGCGAGTTTGCTCCGCACGGTGGGGGGGATTTTTCAGGCGGGTGGCTGCGGTTGTAGCTGACGCGCGCATGTGGGAAGTGGGGGAGGGTTCTGTTTCGGATGGTACTTTTTTTTAATCCGTAAATGGTAAAGGATCAGGTGGTGGGTCCCACCGGCTGAGGCAAGGCAGATTAAAATGAACATATTACTTTATAAAATAAACATATTACTTTATAAAATTAATATGTATAAACATGTTTAAACATGTTTATTTTAAAAAAAATTGGTATACCTTGCTAGGTGTGCCAGGACGCACCTAAGTATTTGCAATTTTTTTGTGCTTTGGGGAGTTTGCAATTTGGGAACGGTTTCTTTCACATCATTTTAATAGTTCTATCTATTTATAAATTGTGGCTTTAAAATTTCCAAAATTAATTAAAGGTTTGTTTTTAGTAAAATCATCAAATCTTTAAGCAAAGAAATAAAAAGCAATGCAGATTAGGTAGTTTGTGAGTGATGGATGTAAAAGGTTGGATTTAGACTCTTTTTTTTTTATGGATGAAGGTAAATTTATAGATCAAAATAGAAGTACAAACGATCGACAAACAACATACAAAATTCTGGCTTTTCACTCGCGGATAATAAGTCTAATAGGGCAACCATAGATCGGTTGCTCACTCGGATCCCAAATTAAGACAGAAGACAACTACTGATGGAGATGAAGCCGCGATGGCTTTCTTGGACAAGCTCGACCGGCTTCGTATCTAGTTTATTAGTTTGTTTATTTCCTATTTATTTCCTATCTATTTTATGTTTCTTTTTATTATTAAATAATTAGTTATCTTGCTTTCCAAGATAACCTAATAGGGTTAGGAATGTTGGGTCCCTATTTATTGTACTCCTTCTATGGGAGAAAACCAGTTTTTACGATTAAATAAAATTTCTCTTGAGTTCTTATTCCCTTTTGTCTACCACACGCTGCATCAGTTGGTATCAGCTGTCGGGACGATTCAAGATGCCGCCAAAACGAAACGACAACGAACGTCGGGATGCCCATCTCGAGGATTTGGATCGACGGACATATGATCTTTTGTTCCAAATCGAACGGGTGGATCGCCGAGTTGAAGGTCTTTTTGAGGGGATCGAGGAAATCCTGGCTGCGATACGTAACATGAATGACGGTGACCAGACGAATCGTGACACCTATGGCCTGGGTGGTCGCAGCGGGACGCGCGGGAGTGGCGGAAGAGGACCGGTCGGGGGGACCCGGCCGCCGTCACCACGATCAGCGTACGGCCACGAGGATAGCGGAGAGGACACCCTGTCAGACATCAACCCCTTCGGCGCTCGACGGGACCAACGGGACGATTTTCGAGGCGAGCGGCGTGCGGAGTTCCGGGCAGACGAGGGCTGGGAGGTTCCAGGCGGGCCACGTCGCAGTGGTGACGGGGGCGACTCGCGCTGGGAGGCTGGCTTTCGCGTGGAGGTGCCGGAATTTTCGGGCGGGCTCGACGCCGCGGAGTTTCTCGACTGGCTCGCCGCTGTGGAGTCTATTCTCGACTTCAAAGAGGTTCCCGATGATCGTCGAGTGGCTCTCATCGCGACTCGTTTGCGGGGACGGGCAGCGGCCTGGTACTCGCAATTAAAGGGGACGCGGCATCGTATGGGTAAACCGAAAATCACGTCTTGGGTTAAATTTCTTAAATATCTTGAACGTGAATTTTTACCATTTAATTATACTCTTACTATTTACCAAAAGTTCCAGTTGTTAAGGCAAGATAATCGCACGGTTGATAAGTATACTGAAGAATTCTATAAGCTTCTCACTCGTATTGATGTTCGGGAGACGGTGGACCAGTTGGTGTCCCGATACGTGGGGGGCTTGCGTGTTTCGATTCAGGATACTTTGAACCTTTTTATCCCGGATTCGGTTTCGGACGCTCACCAACGTGCTGTCATGGTCGAACAACAGCAAGCACGATGGTCTCCTTTTTTCTCTTCATCGAACGCACGCGGTGGGGCCTCGTCTTCAGCGGCAGCAGCAGACCGTTCTTTTGGCCCTGGACAGAATCTGGGCGCATCGACTTCGGCCTAAGGAGCAGTTCGGGCTGGGGTAGCGGGCCAGGGTCCTTCGGCGCCCGCGGCAGGTGGGTCTCGCGTGGGTTCCGGTACGAGGTGCTTTGCCTGTGGTGAAACCGGGCATCGTCAAGCGACATGTCCACGTGGTTCTCGTACTCTTTTTTCGGATGATACCGAGTTGCATGGCGCGGATGAGGAGTACGACGGACCACCGGTCTTTGACGTCGAGCCCGAGCTCGTGGAGGAGCATCTCACCGGCGACGTGGGTCGGGCTCTTGTTCTCCGACGGTCGTGTTTGGCTCCACGGGACTCAAGCACTCCGGTGGAACGACACAATCTGTTTGAATCCACTTGTACGGTGGGGGATCGGGTTTGCCGATTTATAATTGATTCCGGCTCATGTGAGAATGTGTTTGCAAAGGAAGCGGTGGAAAAGCTGGGCCTGACATCTGAACCTCATCCTCAGCCTTATACTCTTGCGTGGATTCAGAAGGGCTCGGCAGTTACGGTTGACAGGCGCGTATTGGTTTCGTTTTCCATTGGGTCGCGGTATCGGGATCAGATTTGGTGCAACGTGGTCCCGATGGACGTCTGTCATTTGCTTTTGGGTCGTCCGTGGCAATATGATCGTGATGCTACTCACTGCGGTCGTCTTAATACTTACAGTTTCGTTTTTGGGGGTGTGAAGGTTGTGCTGCACCCGGGACCTCCTCGTCCTTTGCCAGCGGCCTCTCCTTCGCCGGTCCTTTTTTTGTCACGTGCGGCTTTTGCGGAGGAGATGCATACCGCACCACTTGTGCTCCTCTTGATTGGACATGACCGGACGGGACACGGGGAGGACAGGACACCACCGGCGGCCATTGGCCCGTTACTGACCGAGTTTGCCGACGTCTTCCCCGACGAGCTTCCAGGTTTACCACCTTTGCGGGACATTCAACACAACATTGATCGGGCGCTTCTCTGCCTAATCGGCCTCATTATCGCATGAGTCCAGCTGAGCACGAGGAATTGAGGAGGCAAGTCGAGGAACTCCTTCACCGTGGAGTGGTTCGCCGTAGTCTGAGTCCTTGTGCGGTGCCTGCGCTTCTGATTCCGAAGAAGGATAATTCTTGGCGAATGTCTGTTGATAGTCGGGCGATCAACAAAATCACGGTACGTTATAGATTTCCAATTCCTCGCTTAGATGATTTGTTGGATCAACTGCATGGCGCGACAGTTTTTTCAAAATTAGATCTCCAGAGTGGATATCATCAGATTCGGATCCGCCCGGGTGATGAGTGGAAGACTGCTTTTAAAATTCGAGAGGGATTATTTGAGTGGCTGGTGATGTTGTTTGGGTTGTCCAATGCACCTAGTACTTTCATGCGGGTTATGAATCAAACGCTTCGGGAGTTGATTGGTAAGTGTGTCGTTGTTTACTTCGATGATATACTTATTTATAGTTGTACGATTGAGGAGCATTTGCAGCATGTTCGGTCGGTTTTGCTCATCCTCCGAGCTGAATCTTTTATGCGGCACCTCGGAAATGCTTGTTTATGGTGGATTCCGTGCTTTTCTTGGGATTTGTTATTTCTGCCGAGGGTATTCGGGTTGACGACTCCAAAGTGGCCGCCATTCGGGAGTGGCCGACTCCTACCACGTTCACAGAGGCCCGTAGCTTTCACGGTTTGGCTTCCTTCTATCGGTGCTTCATTTCCCACTTTAGTTCGATTACGGCTCCGATTACTGATTGTCTCCATGGGAAGACTTTTACGTGGACATCAGCTGCTGAGGAGGCCTTTCTTCTCATCAAGACTAAGCTTACATCCGCCCCGGTTCTGGTCTTACCGGATTTCACTCGTCCTTTTGAGTTGTCTTGTGATGCCTCTAAGGTTGGTATTGGTGTTGTCCTTAGTCAGTAGGCACGGCCTGTGTCCTTCT